ACCCGGTATTTTATCTCATATCAACTACACAGATTGCGTAAACGTAATGAATAATATTTCTTTTTACAAATTTAAGGGGTTTGATCAATTAATTAGTTAAAATATATTAAAATTCTATTATTATTATAGCAACTATTTACAAAATTTTAAAGGATTGGTTATGTCATTAAAATTAAATAGGTACTTAAAAAATTGTGTAATGTGAGAAATAAAAAAGATAATATTAATTATAAAATAAATATCTTGAAGAAAAATTTTTGCTATGATTTTTTTATAAGTGTGTAACTTTCATAAACCTTTTAATGTAACATTATAATTAGCTAATATTAGTAGTGATTCTTATATGATAAAGTAGTTGAAAAATTATTGATACAATTAATTAATGCAAAATGTAATTTTGGTTTCCATAGTTTGATGTGTTGATCAACCAAAAATATGATTTTAGTGTGGTTAATAAGGTAACTAAGCTTTTAAAATCGAATATATTCACTTAAATATGAGCGGAAGTGAGTGGAAACGAGGTCGAATTCTCGTCTTTAATGATGTATTTAATGGGCGAATCAATGTCTTTTACAGAGAGAATTTTTCTGTCCCAATATCAAATGGATTCCTAGGACTATTTAATAGCACGATATGCCCGATTACTGTTCATCGGGTTACATCAATTTAATGTCGAATGACAGGCATTTAATGCGGGCATGCTACCAGACGAACCTAGAGATCATAGGTCTGTAGAGATGACGTGCGCGTCCCATCGGTCATCAAGTGGGATTATCATAACAGTTGATCGTATTTGCTCCCTTCCGGATATGCGATGCCTTGGGAATGCCAGAGTTGACAGGTGCAACGACCTCAGGGAGGAGAAAAAACCATTCCAGCACGAAGATAGGCTACACTCAAAAAGCGTAGGCCCTAGGTGAAAAACATGGTACGAAAACAGCAGTGCGCCTTCAGATACCGACCACAGCACCCTTCTGCTTCCTGAAATCCTTCTTCATAAAGAGTCGAAGCTGGTACTTAGCGTGACAGCGGCGCATCGCGGTCCTATTCTCCGGAGAGGGATCTAGATCGTAAGCACGCTCGACATCAGCATATGCATTCTGAGTTGCAGAGAGGCGCTGAGAGAGGTCTCCAAAAACATCCCAATTCCACTATTTCAGTCTGTGCCGCAGTCTCCCGAGCTTGGCCTCCAGGTTACGCATCTCGAAGATCCCAGTCGGCTGCAGTCAGGAGACCCCGACAGTGTCATGGAAAGTGTGGTGTCGAATCCTCATGATTTGGATTCTAAAAGAGGAGCGACGGGGTTCTGCGAAAAGGACACCTGATGAGGAGAGGAGCATGGTCCGACTCAATTCGAGGATGGTGTTTGACGACCGTAACCGCAAAAACCCTCACCCAAGCATCGGAGAACAAAGCACGACCGAGCCTCTCCTTGACACAATCACGCTCCCAAGTGAAGGGAGAGCTTAGAAACCAGCGTCAATTAACTCACATTCCGCCGCTGCTTGAGAGAAATCCCCAATCTCCATAGAATGGTCAAAACGGCCACCAATGCATTCATCGGTATGCAAAATCAGCGCATACCATCCACGGTAATCCTCCATAGTTTCAACAATCTCATGCATGGTGACCCAAAGACAGTAGCACCCGACCCTTGCATAACTGAGGTAAACCAAGTGTGGAAGATGGGCGGCAGAAAGCTCGACGTGCAGCACCTGTACGGTGTCATGGATGACCCAACAAGTGTACTCACACGAGTGAAAGAACCAGATCTTATTAGAGATGTTTCCCACGCCAGAGTGAAAACTAAGGCGGCGTGAGTATAAGTCAAAAGAAAGGTTGTGGGTCATGAGCTCGAGAAAAGCAACGAAGTCGAGCCCATGGTTACGGACAAATGAGTTAATATGTGCGAGGGTGGCTCTATTTGCCAGCCCACGGGCATTTCAAGTTAGTGATGTGACCGACATATCAACTGTCGGTGATGCTATTCGACAAGGTCCGCCTGTGGCTAGGCTGAATCGATCCACCAGTGTGGGATAAAGTCCGTCTAGTCGAGCGCTGCACAGTCCTGGATCTTGTGCGAGGTCGACTACAGTCGGGGCTCTCAAAGAATGGTCCTGAAGCTGCTTTCCCTGCTTCTGAGCATCGAAAATAGGTTGAGCCCGGCTAAGAGCGCAAGCCATCTCAAGAGTGGAGATGGGCCCAATGGCAGGACATGAGCATCCACGGTAACGTGCATAAAAGCGTCACTGGAAGTACGCACTAAAAAGAGCTCACTCTCGGAGGAAATAACAGTGGTCGCCTCTGCCCCAGCCTGGAAATCAGCAATATGAGCGAAACGTGAGCCCTGAGATCTCTCCTCAGAGGCATCATGCTCACTGGAGGAAGCCACGTCTCGAGAGCTGGCGTTGTGAAAGGGGGTCGACTCGATGCTCTCAAAGGGGCCTACCTGATACGTCTCATCATCCAAGAGGTCATCGTCGTCAGGGG